GTAATTTTAAGGCAAGTGTAAGGTTGCCTGTAATACTCTTGTCTGCAACTGCAAACAAACATTTAATACAGAATGTATCAAACAAACAGTCAATACTACAATTTTATCTTAAATATTAAATCACCACACTAGTTAATTTTCTTACTTTAACACTGGCATTACAATCATTTTCAGAAAGAGGATAGGTGTGCATTTTTTTTCTTTTAAGTACACCCTTCAGTTTTGTGATGGTAGTCTCATCAGTCATTGTTGACACCATATCAAGAGCAGTGGGCAGCAGGAGATCCTCAGGTGTTGAATGTGGTTTCTTGCGGTCCTGTTCCAGGGCTCCAGACTAACTTTTCCAGTGGTAGCATGGTGCTACCAACTTTCTTCACTGGTCGCACCAGCTAATGATCTGGTCGCCCCACTCCCTTATTTTGGATCAGCATTGCCACAGTTATTAATGCACCATGCAGCTGATGAATACTTGCCATTGCATCACTTAGTTCTGATGCAATGATCTTCAGAGATACGACTAGACATTTGTAAAATGTTTTAATCTTAAAATATATTTATTTTGTCACCAATCCTCTTCTAATACCAGTCATTAACTGGACACAGGCTAAACAATTGCTGAAAGCGCCCATAGGTAGATGCTACATTTTACAAATGTTCCCCAAACGCCTCACATGCTGCTCCGGTAGATGATGCATTTTACCGATGTTCCCTGAATGCCTCGCATGCTGCTCCGGTAGATGCTACCAGGTGCGCTGTGTTTTCCTTTTGACGTCGATTTACAGATAAGTTGTTTGTGATTAGAAAAGCCAAACTTTATTACAGCAGAGTTTGCTAACATCTTTCCCAGGGAGCAGAGTCCTTTCCCACATTTACTGTCGTGGAGTGCCTGTGAAGAGGGGCGGGGTGGGGTGACAGGCCACAGCCTGTAAAAAAAATCCAAATTAAAAATCTGTTACACTATTGGTTACATTCGAAGCGGGGAGTTTTGCATCCAATAACAACAAAGCTATTACTAAACAAATGAAACAGTTCAGAGGCAGCTTAGTGGGGTCCTTGCAGCCGTGGTCTCGGTTGGTCTCGCAGTAAAATCCCGAGTCCTCTGTGGCCGAGACCGAGACAATACCAAATAAAAATGCGGTCGAGTCCAAGACAAGACCGAGATCTTCAGAAAGCGGTCTCGAGACCGAGACCGATCTCGAGTACTACAACACTAACCTATGGTCACGAGCTTTGGGTCGTGACCGAAAGAACAAGATCGCGGATACAAGCGGCCGAAATGAGATTCCTCCGCAGGGTGGCAGGGCTCAGCCTTAGAGTCCATCTGGGAGGAGATCCTGGGGCAGACCCAGAACCCGCTGGAGGGATTACATCTCTTGGCTGGCCTGGGAACGCCTCGGGATCCCCCAGGCAGAGCTGGAAAGTGTCGCTGGGGGGAGAGAGGTCTGGTACGACCTGCTCTGCCTACTGCCCCCGTGACCCGACCCCGGATAAGCGGAAGGCAATGGATGGATGGATGGATGGATGGATGGATGTCATTGATAGAGGAAAGTGTCCATCACAGTGTTCAGAGGACCAGGTGACATCGTCACACTGTTTTTTGAAACATAGACATCTTCACTTGAAATGACACAAAGCCGATAATAGAAGAAAATCAGTAGAAACTGAAGCAGAAAATGTTCCCACAGGGCTTCCCATTGAAACATCCACCATGACGACTGCACAGAGCTCTCGACAGAACCTGAGAAATTCTGCCAAAAGCCCCATTTTATATTGAAGATATAACAAAAACTGAATTTACAAAGAGGGGCAAGACACCATCAAAACATTTTTCCTCTAGATATAGTGATAGTGCAGTAGAGTTTTATGCTGGTACGCAAAGCTTGGCAAACAAAGGGATTCAAGTGGAAAGACAATCATGTAAACCTCGATCATGATAATCTGCCATCCTTCATTGCCAAACGGAAAGAATTTGCCGAGATACGTAGGGTGTTGAAAGAAAATCAAGTGAAGTTTCAAACTTTACTTCCTGCTAGGTTACGCGTGATGCACAATGATGGTAACAAAATATACAATTTAGCAACAGACGCAGCCAAAGACCTTGTGATAAGAGGCTACATTCTCAAGACAATACCAGCACCAACATCGACATCACTGATGGAACAGATAAACAACTGTCCTGGACCTGAGTGAACCAGCGCGCTACCAGAACTATACGTGACTCCACCCACGACATCAGCTATGAGGATAAGCTTTGTGAGTTCCAGAGAACCACCTCAGGCGCAACCATGGAATGAAAGTTGAACTGGGACGATTTAAGAATTCTCAAAGTGATTTGTATTGCTACTGAGACAGTGGGGTGAATAGACTGTAAATTACAAATACATGAGTTCTGTGGAATGAGCTTTCAAGACACTGTGAACCTGCAAGGATCCGTTTCACTGAGCTCAGTTGAAGAGTTTTTGCCGTAGAGCGTCCTCTTGGGCATTTCAGGGTCTAATGCAGAGACCCTACACAGGAAGTCACATTTTTTTATTTTGGTATATTTTATGTTGTTCTGTAGATTTACATTTGACATGTGTTTTTTAGGGCTGGCCGGAATAGCTATTTCTGGGCTCCAGACATTAGGGCCCCTTTAATGACGAATATCCGAATATTCGGTCCAAACGAATTTGGTCCGAACCAGCCCTAGTGTTTTTTTGTTTTTTATACTTTGCTGTTTTGTGCAGAGAAGGGAAGAGTACCATGTTTATTTGTGTTGGTAACCATTAATACATTCACATGTTCGCGTCCCGGTGTTGACACCCGGGATCTTTCTACGTGGAGTTTGCATGTTCTTCCCGTGCAGCGTGGGTTCTGTCCGGGTTCTCCAGCTTCCTCCCACAGTCCAAAAACATGTTGAGGTTAATTGGTGATTCTAAATTGTCCGTAGGTGTGAATGTGAGTGTGCTTGGTTGTCTGTCTCTCAGTGTAGCACTGTGATAGACTGGTGACCTGTCCAGGGTGTCCCCTGCCTTCATCCTAAATTGGCCGGGATAGACTCCAGCCCCCCATGATCCTGGTTAGGATTAATCGGTGTATAGATAATGGATGGATGGAAAATAAAAAGGCAAGGATAAAATATCAGACAATTAAATTAATGAAAGAGAAAGGGAGGATGCCTGCCTTCGGGGATATTAACATGCTACTACTATGCTCAACTTAGACTTTTAATCTGTTAATGTTCACCCACCTACTCTGCAGGATGGAAAGATGTCGAAGGGACTGTTACAACGGATATACCAATTATGGCGCTACTACCTGACAAAAAGCCAAATGCCCTTGATAAAAGATTTAAAAGGTGGGTCTCAAAAGGACTTACTACCTATTACTCTTTTATCCACAAAGGGACATTCATGAGTTTTGAAGCATTACAGAGTAAATATGGATTAGGTCAAGATGATTTCTACAGATATCTACAGGTTAGACACTATTTTGATCAAAATATAAAAGCAACATGGGAACACTGTAGTCAGCTGATCAGGGCATTTATTCACAGATGCTTCAACAAACTAAAATATCCTCAGATATTTTTCCTGAAAATTTATCAACCAGTGTCTAAAACTTTTGTTAATAACCTGAACTGAATAAATTCCCAACAGTCAGTGAACTGACCTGAGAGTCTCCAGTTTACAGTTTGGACTCTTCAGTCCATCACAAAGATGCTTCACTCCTGAATCCCGCAGGCTGTGGTTTCCACTCAGGTCCAGTTCTGTCAGGTACGAGGGGTTGGACTTCAGAGCTGAGGCCACGACTTCACAGTCACTCTCTGAGAGTCCACAGTTAGAAAGTCTGTCATGACACATAAATGACAAAACATGTAATTACGAGAAGTACTTAATATTTACTGCTGAGAAGAACATGTTGTGTCCTGTTTCTACTGTGACTCAGGATATTGTGACTGAGTGGAGCTCAGTCAACAGTTACAGTTGACAGATGATGTTGTCTCTGCTGCGGACCTGCTGCTGCCAGCTTCACCTCCATCACTCAACATTTACAGTCTGTTGTGAAACGCTGCACACATCAAACTGATCATTGCACAGCATCACACCTGAACATCATCAGTGTGATCATCAGTAAGCTCAAGAACATCTGAGACTAAACATAGCTGACATGGATGTTATAGTGGGTCAATTCAGTTCACACCTGACCATGTCACAGACTTCTTTCTTTACACATGTATGTTGTTGAGTAAAGCATGTCACATTTCAGGTGTTGCAACTTTGAGTTCAAGGTTCTTAAAGAAGGCGGGTCATGTTGATTTCTGTGTGGTTTTCTTGGTGCCAATCTTTTTCTATTCTAATGTTGGGCTGCAGGGTGGCGCAGTTGGTAGCACTGTTGCCTCGCAGCAAGAAGATTCCGGTGGGGACACCGGGATCTTTCTGCGTGGAGTTTGCATGTTCTCCCCGTGCAGCGTGGGTTCTCTCCGGGTTCTCTGGCTTCCTCCCACACAGTCCAAAAACATGTTGATTCTAAATTGTGAATGTGAGTGTGCTTGGTTGTCTGTCTCTAAGTGTGGCCCTGTGATAGACTGGCGACCTGTCCAGGGTGTCCCCTGCCTTCGCCCTAAGTCGGCTGGGATAGACTCCAGCCCCCCCACGACCCTAGTGAGGATTAAGCGGTGTATAGATGATGGATGGATGGATATTCTAATGTCCCACAAAACCTTTATTTTTCACCCTTAGAGAATGAATTTTTTAGCTTTAAAATCTTTAAATTTGGTGAATTAAATGAATTAAAACCTCTTGATGACAAAATCAGAAACAAGTAAAAACACATTTGTCTGACGTATTGATGATAAAAGTGGATGAAATTGCTTATGGTGCCAGTTTTTATCAAATTATCTGAAGCCCAGTAACAATATTATACAACTTTTCCAGTTGGGACACTACTGGACTGGTTTCATTCTCATACCTGCTCAATGCTTGTTCAAATATTGGCCAGAAATGTAAAAACATTATTCAATATATTTCTTCATAAAGTGTCTCTGACTGGCACTAAACTCTACAATTTTAAAGCTCCTGTTGGTGCCAATCAGAGGAAAATAATTCAGCCTCTTAGAGTGAAATATAAAGGATGTATGGTTGGTGGAACATCAGAAAAGACAGAAACACTGACATTTATAACAAACTTACACAATCATATAACTGGTTTGTATTATTCTATTGTTATAATTAATTATGTTTTGAGCTATTATGCATTCTCAATCTGTATTTTTCTATTGAGCACAATATACATCCTTGAAGATAACATGGCTGGTGAGAACTGGTTTACACACCAGGAGACAGTGGAAACTCCCTTATTCTATCAGTTTGGATTGTTACTTTAGATACACGCCATACCAGCAACATCCACACATGTTGTTTATCAAATTTCAAGGACATGGACAGAGTGCGGAAGAGGTATGCCCGTCCACATCATTGGTAACTGGCCAATTAAACTCAATAGCGTGCAAGTCTAATCTCTGTTCGGAGCAGTCCCAGCCCAAGAAGATATCTGTAACCTGAACCCAGAAAAATTCAGCTGGACATGAGACTGCTTCCTGTCTCTCTGAATCCAACGCTGCAAAACTTTCCACTTGACCTGAATAAAGTGTTTCATCTGAACTTTTCTCCAACCATTTCTTGGAGCTGTTTTAACAAAAGAACTGGGTCTAGCACGATCTAAGCAGCTACATGTGAGCCCAGATTTTACACATGGACTCAATCAATGTTCACCACTTTAAAAGAAATGAGTCAAACTGAAGATGGTCAGACGTGGAGCATTCAGTGAGCTGAGGCAGAAAGACCATATTGAGAACATCTGAAGAACTGAACTACTGATCTACACTGACTGATCATGTTCATCACATCTGGACTCACCCAGCCTTTCTGCAGTTCCTCACAGCTAGAATCAGCCTCAGTCGTCCTGCCTCTGATGTGTTGTACTTCTTCAGGTCCAACTCATCTAGAACCTCCTCTGACATCTGCAGCATGTAGGCCAGAGCTGAGCAGTGGATCTCAGAGAGTTTCTTCCTTGATCTGTTCTCTGACTTTAGGAACTCTTGGATCTCCTGATGTACTGAGAGATCCTTCATCTCCATCAGACAGTGGAACATATTGATGCTGTCTGGGGATATATTTGCTTTCTTCTTCAGGTTGTTGATGACTCTCCGGATGATTTCTGGACGGTTCTCTGTCCGACCCAGCAGGCCTCCTAAGAGTCTCTGGTTGGACTCCACAGAGAGACCATGAAGAAAGCGAGCAAACAGGTCCAGGTGACCATTTCTACTATTCAAGGATTTTGCCATGACTCTGTCCAGAAAGATATCCAGGGATACGTTTTTGTATTTATTTCCCAGGAACTTCTTCAGCACCGTCCTGTTGCCGTTGTTGTGACAATGGAACATGTAGACTGCAGCCAGAAACTCCTGAATGCTCAGATGAACAAAGCAGTAGACTGGTTTCCGGAACATCACACACTCTCTTCTGAAGATCTGTGTACAAACTCCTGACAACACTGAGACCTCTGTCACATCCAGACCACACTGCTCCAGGTCTTCTTGGTAGAACATGATGTTTCCTTTCTGCAGATGTTTAAAGGCCAGCCTCCCCAGCTTCAGAAGAACTTCCCTGTCAGCCTCCGTCAGCTCCTGCGGACTCATCTCATTTCCGTCGTGGTACTTGTGCTTCTTCCTCTTTGTCTGAACCAACAGGAAGTGTGAGAACATGTCAGTCAGGGTCTGGGGCAGCTCTCCTCTCTGCTCTGTGGTCAACATGTGCTCCAGAACTGCAGCAGTGATCCAGCAGAACACTGGGAGTCGACACATGATGTGGAGCATCCTGGACGTCTTCACGTGGGAGATGATTGCGGTGGACAGCTTTTCATCACTGAACCTCCTCCTGAGGTACTCCTCCTTCTGGCCGTCATTGAAGCCTCGTACTTCTGTGAACCTGTCCACATGTTTAGGAGGGATCTGATTGGCTGCTGCAGGGCGGGATGTGATCCAGACCAGAGCTGAGGGAAGCAGATTCCCCTGGATGAGGTTTGTCAGCAGCACGTCCATCGATGACTTCTGGCTGACGTCAGACACGACCTTCTTGTTGGTGAAATCCAGTGAAAGTCTGCTTTCATCCAGACCGTCAAAGATGAACAAAAGTTTACAGACAGCCAGCTCCTCTGCTGTCACCTTCTCCAATGTTGGATGGAACACATGGAGCAGCGTCAGAAGACTGTGCTGCTCATCTCTGATCAAGTTCAGCTCCCTGAACGGAAGCACAACCACCACACTGACGTCCTGGTTTTCTCGGCCCTCTGCCCAGTCCAGACTGAACTTCCGCACTGAGAAGGTTTTTCCCACGCCAGCGACGCCGTTGGTCAGGACCACTCTGATGGCTCTCTGCTGCTCAGGTAAGGCTTTAAAGATGTCCTGGCACTTGATGGGAGTGTCATGGAGAGTCTTCTTGGAAGCTGTCTCCAGCTGCCTCACCTCATGTTGTGTATCAGCCTCTTCACTGAGTCCCTCTGTGATGTAGAGCTCAGTGTAGATCCTGTTGAGGAGGGTTCCACCTCCTGTTGCATCACTTCCTTCAGTCATATGTTTACATCTCCTCCTCAGACTCATCTTATGTTCCTGCAGAACCTCCTGCAGACCAGCATCTGCTCACAGACCAGAGAAACAATCAGACAGAACAAACACAAACATCTTTCATGTCTGGACAACACAACACAACAACAAGTGCAGTTTTCACAGTACACAGCTGCTCTGACCGGCTGTCTGCAGTCCAGTTCTGGTTCTGGATCTTTCTCCACACTGGGGACAGGACCAGTGTCCTGATGGAGCAGACTGGTCCCAGTATGAGGTGATGCACCGTCTGCAGAACCAGTGTCCACAGCTGGTAGAGACTGGATCCTTCAGGACGTCCTGACACAAAGCACAGCAGGACGGCTGCTTCTCCACAGAACCTCCCCTCCTCTTCGTCACTCTGTCAACACATTTATTCATCACTGAGCTCATCTGGAGAAAAACATCCACATTGACAAACACAGTGCAGAAGGTCAGATGGTCACAGAGAACAGTAGAAGTGCGGCTGCTGTTCTGTCTGAATCCAGCCTGGAATAAAAACACTACTTCCTTTTATTATCAACTCCAGTGAATTCTTTTCCTGTCAGCTGTCCGATTAAACTCTGACCGGTCTGCCCGCAGGTTGCTGTTGATTCAAACTGAACACTTTGAGCAGCAGCTTCACAGTAACAGCCTTCCATCACTGACAGCTGATTCTGTTCTGCACTGTTTTACCATCACTTTGGGCAGCTCAGCTCAGCTGAGTTTGAACTCAGAGTAAAAATGGTGTAAAAACTGTGTGAGAGCAGCAGCCTCAGACACAGTGTTCAGCTTTCATTTCAAACATCAGAATCATTTGAACGAGGAACCATTGAAGACAAATCACAACATCAGCTACACATGTGAAGAACATGCTTTCACACTCTGACAGCCTGAAAATATTTACAGTGACTTCAACATTGTGGTGAAGACATTTGAACATTGTGTGTAAATTGTAAAATAGAGGTTCTCAGGTGTTTTATCACAGAACACCATCAGAATTTCCTGGTTACAGAACCCAGATGAGGATCTGGATTATGACCACTGTGTGACTGTTTCAGCAGAGCATTTCTTTCATCCTAAAACCATCATCTTCCATCAGGTCAGAAACAGTTTCTTACTTTGTGTCTGGCGGTTCAGGTTCTTTACTGAAGTGTGGAGGTCTTCCTTTGGACCGGTCACTCTTCATAGACAGACAGCTGGATGCTGCTCTCTGTCTGCTGAAACACATGTTTGTTTTCTCATCAATCACTGATCAATCCTCTGATCATATACATAGTTTTAAATACAAAAACTTCAGATGATGAGATGTTAATGTTTGCAGTTGTCCTCCTTGATCAGATCACAGCTTTTCTACTGTCAGAGATGCTGAGAGGAAAACAGGACAAATGCTTTCTATTTGTGTCACAAAAACCTTTTCAAGGTTCATTTTAATATACCAACTAAAATGAATCCTCAGGGACACAGAATATAACTTACAGATGTAAAAAAAAAAAAAAAAGTATAAAAAAAGGAGTCATATGAATAAGTTAGAGGTTTCTTACTTTGTGTCTGAAGGTTCAGGTTCTTTACTAAAATATGGAGGATCTCCTTTGGACCCATCACTCTTCATAGAC